CTAAAAAGCAGTTTCTGTATGTCATGTGAAAATGAGCTAAATATGTGAAACTGCCATGTGAAAATGAGCTGCAATAAGTGTAGATTTACCTAGCAATCCCTGAATCCAGGGAGCTTTGGTAGCGTAGTGCTAAGGCACTTGACTGCTAACCAGAAGACTGGCGGTTCAAACCCAGCCACTCCTTGGAAGGAAGTTTGGACAATCTACTTCTGTAGTGACACTGCCTCAGAAACCCAAGGAGGGGTCACTATGAGTCGGGTCTGACTTGATGGCACATAACAACAACAACCCTTAATCCAATTCAACTTTCAAAAACAGAAGGGACATGGGAAGTAAAACTAACATTTGTTTTCTATTTACTATGCACTTTACACACATGGTCTGCCTTCTATTTCAACAGTACTCAAATTTTTAGAGTCAAACTATGAGAAAACTCTCTACAACATCTTTCGTCAGGGTGAAAGTTACCTGCCTTTAGACAATGGTCCTATAACTTTATGTGTATGATCTAAATTCCCTAGTGTATAGTGGAGTTGACAAGAGACAAAGTTGTAGTCACTGCTTGGTCACAGCCAGTTACCCAGAGGGACTGACTAGTTGAACCTGTGGGACCATAGTCACAAAGGACATCAAGCTCAATTGGCATAACATACTACACAAAACATTGTTCTACATCCTACTGTGATGAGTAGCAACTGGGATCTTAAAACCTTGCAAGCTGCCATCTAGATGCAAAGATGGGTCTCTTCTTGTCCAGAGCCAAGAAGAATGAAGAAAATAAAAAATTCATGGAAACAATTAGTCCTAGCGACTGGTATACCATCGGATCTGCAGCCTATACGACTATGAGACCAGAAGAACTAGATGGTGCCCAGCTACTACTGTCAACCACTTGGAAGGGGATCTATGTAGGAGATCCTAGGTAGAGAGGGAGAACAATGTGGAACAAAACTCAAAATCATTTGGGGAAAAAAAAAAAAGAGGGGGACCAGGTTTGCTGGCCCGATAGAGCCTGGTGGAACCACTGAGACTATGGCCCCTAGCTGCCCTTCAGGTCTGGAATTGAACACACACCTATGGCTTCCAGCCAAACAATAGACAGGCATATGAGTTGAACATTTACCTGAGGTAGATACACTCCTTGGAGAGAACAAGCATGGGAGAAAGAAGGACTGCTTATGCACAGGGAGACAGCTCAGGGAGCAGGAGTGCATGGAGGGATGGACACAGGGAAGAGGTAACTCTCAGGAGGAAGTAGGAGGGGAGATATTGCACTGTGGTAAATTGTGGTCAATGTCATGAGACAAAATGTATGTGAACTGCTGTATGGAAAGTGTATTTGCTCTGTAAATTTTCACCCAAATCACAATAAAAAGAAAAAAAAAAAGAAAGTTACCTGCCTTTTTATCTAAGCATCACTGATGCGTACCCCCTGCCCATCCCTGCCCATGATGAAATAGTGCTGTGCCAATTTTCCTGTGCTTTGTTTCTGATTTTGGACCTGGTGTAGCTATGGCTGCACCCCTTAAACTGCATAGGCTGCAATATTAGCCACTATAAAATCACATGTGCTGCTGACTACCAGTTTGGCTTGAGAGGGTCAGTGTAAAATCTACATGTTTCATTGCTTTGACGAATTCAACACCCCATCTTGCCAGTGGTTTATTAAATTAGTCCAGAAAGAAAGAAAAGCAGGTGTTTCTAAAGAGTAAACTGCATTGTGCAAACATCAAACAATGTAAACAAAACACATTTTTTTTTAAAAAAAAAGTGTATTTATTTATTTGCAAGAGTGCAGTATCTACAGCCAGATGCCTTGGGTATAAATCTCAACTCTGATATTTACTTGTTCAGTGACCCTGGACAAGTTACCTACCTCTCTGTACTTCACTCAGTTTATAACTATGTAAAATGAAGACAGTAACAGTAATATAACCTCAAAGGTTCTTTGGAGGATTCAATAATCAGGCTTAAAGCACTTAGAACAATGCCTGTCACATAAAAGGCACAATGTTCATGTTAGCTGTTGTTGTTTGTTACGGTCAATTCTGATTCATGGTGATGCCACATGTGCAGAGTATAACTGTTCCACAGGATTCTTAAGGCTGTAACCTTTCAGAAGCAGACTGCCAGGACTGACTCCCAAAGCACCTCTGGGTGGGTTCAAAGCACCAACTTTTCAGCTAGTAGGTAGGCACTTAATTATTTGTACTACACCCAGGGACTCCAGAGAAGGGTGAGTTTAGCTGCAGACATGGTTGTTAGAAATTCTAAGTGTCTCTAATATCACTACAAATTCTTAGGTTATACCTTCTTTCCCTCCCAGAATCAAAGATGTAAAAACTAAGCTAAAAGATTAACTCTCAGTCAGAATTTTAGGTCTAGAACCTAGATCAGTGCCATCCACTAGAACTTTCTGTAATTATGGAAATAATCTGCACTGTCCAATACAAATCCAATATCTACTTGGAAAGTAGATTGTATGCTTAAGGACATCAATTTTTAATTTTAATTAAGTTTATTTTAAATAGGCACATGGGGTGAGTGGCTCTCATACTGGACAGACTATAACTGTATCTGTCCCAAAGAAAGAAAAGCCTTATATCACCCAAAAGGACTAAGGATTTCCTTGCCCTCTTTTAGCACCTGAAGTTTCTGTCCCTTGCTTGTTTTATGTTTTCATTTGTTTCATTTTTTTTTAAGTACCTTAATGATCTCTTCTTGGAAAGTCTTGTTCCTTATGGCTCAGCTTTTGAAATTTCATTTCAGTGCTATACCTAGCACCTGATTCAAGACTTAGTTGGGACAGGGGTAATTCTTCAATTTACTTAGAACTAGAACTGGACTCTAGTCCCTAAGGCATGTGACTGCTAACCAGAAGGTTGGCGGTTCAAAAGCCCACCAGCTGCTCCACGGGAGGAAGATGAGGCAATCTACTTCCATAAAGATTTATCACCTCGGATACCCATCACTATGAGTCAGAACCAACTCAATGGCAGTGAGAGTTTGAGAAGTGTACAGCTCAAGTTCTGGTATGGTCGCATGACTTCCTTAAATCTTTATTAAAAGCAGACACATAAAAAATAGGACCCAATTTATTCCAGTTCACAAAGTGTTATATTTTTGCATATAAATGTTATATATATGACATGTGACAATACAGGCAGTCCCTGACTTACCATGTATCTGAGTTACTACAAGCATGGCAGTTAAGACCACAACTTTATTCTCTTTTTTTTGGCACATCTTTGTTTTTGTTAGTAATATGTACTGCATACAGTGTTGCAGCACATAATTTGGTGTTGTTACCATTCTCATGCCTATCTCCAAAGACAAATAAAGATTGTATTTAGAAAAATAAAGGCAGTAACAATGAAAACTAAAAAATATGAGGTGTTCAACTTATGTCAGAACCAAATTATGATGGAGTCTCAGAACCAAACCCCATGTAAATCAAGGACTACTTGACTGGAATTGGAACTCCCAATCTAGAATAAACTGTACCTGTACCTAGTAAGTGCTCAATAAATGTTTGTTAAGTGACTGTTGAAAGTTTGGGAACACAGACTCTTACTTTGTTAATGTGTATTTGACATTCCACTCATAAAAATACATCATTAAACACACACACACACCCAGACATAGTCACACTGATGTCTGTTGTTGTTGTTGTTGTTATGTGCCGTCGAGTCGGCCCCGACTCATAGCGACCCCTCCTTGGGTTTCCGAGGCAGTTATCACTACGGAAGTAGGATTGCCCAACCTTCCTTCCGAGGAGTGGCTGGTGGGTTTGAACCGCCAGCCATCTGGTTAGCAGGCAAGTGTCTTAGCCACTATGCTACCATGTCTACTCTTAAAAATTCCCACATGATGAAAAGCGGAAGACAAATATGAAAGAGTAGAGTAGGATGATACAATAGAAAAACTATGAAGGGAAATTCCAAACATTTAAATTCTTCCAAGTATAGTCTTTTTGATGTTAGTTATCTTCAGTTTCCATGGCAATTAACAAATGTCACAAAAAGTTTCTCATTCCTACTTTGAAAGTTTAAGATTGCTCTTGGCCATAATATATTATCATAAACAATCTGTTTGCATCCTTATAAATGCTACACCAGAGAATTTACATTTAAAGGGGAGCCACATATGTACGAGTACTATGTAGTTTGCTCAAGAAATCGCAGTACAAATTAATACTGATTGTATCATAAAGAGTAGCTACCAGGAGTACCTGTAATTCTCACACTAGTAGACACGTGTTTTTACTAGTCTCTCAGTGCGTTGATCTTCTCCTCCCTGAACCACAAGTTTACCTAAATGCACGTGAGTGTATTTTTAATCTTATCTTTATTCCATACCTCAAACAAAACATAGATGAAAACGTAAAATGGATTTTATTTGTGTTGGGTTTTTTTAAATATCTGAAGGCAACACAGAGTTTAACTTCACAGAGTTGTTTACCAGCAGGTCTGTGTTCCGAAGAAGCAAGTCATAAAACACGCAAAAAATAGGGCTTGTTTTCAAAATTATTTTATATGTAGGGAATAAGATGGAAACGCAAAACACATCTTTAACAGAGCAGGTAACATCGGTTCCACTCACCAGCAACAAATTCCCTGAGAAGCTTTGTTCCCCGCTATTTGTAAACAAGAGCTTGGGCCAGAGCTCCACCCTGGCACCCGGGAGGGAATGAATGATGTGCAAGCCTTGCGCCCATCTCGAAGGGTTCTGCAAGGTCCACTTGGAAAGGAGGCTCTCCTCCTGGACTAGACACCCACCCTCCAGCCAAAAAAAGTCCTATCGGAACTCTTCTGCTACCACCTTAGGAGCTGGAGTCGACCGTCCCGTTTAACTTCATTGCAGTTAACAAGGAATTCCTAAGCCTCCAACTATCAGCACCTTGCCAAGCACCTCGAAAGCCATTGCAGCTCCGGCGTCCCCAGATCCCCGCTCTCGCAAGCCAGTGCCATCGGAGAACCCCAGCCCCGCGGGCGGCTTACCGAGTAGTGAGCCGATGAAGATGACGATCTGCACGGTGGTGGTGAACTGTCGGTACAGCTGCGCCTCGCCAAACTCCCCCAGCACGCTGCGGTTCGCGCCCGTCACCTCCGCGCCCGACGCGTTGCGCGGCTCGCTGGCGTTCCGGAAGACCCAGCTCCCGTTATCCCCCATGGCGAGGCCGGGGCTCCGCTCCGCTCGCTGCCCTCCCGCCTCTGACCCCAGCGCGGAGCCTCTCCTCGGAACTCGGAGAGACGCACGGGTGTAGTTCTGGTGAAGCCGGGGCTGCCGGCGGGTCCCCTCACGTCTCCACATCTCCAACCCCGACGCCTGGGAGGAGGGGAGGGAGGGAGGCGAGGCTACGCCCCTTGCCGGTTCCCTCCAGGGTCCCTGTCAGTAGCCACATGAAAGCGGCCGGGTCAGAGACCGCCGAGCAGCGTCTGTCCCTCCTCCCAGGGGTCAGCACGGCCAAGCCCACTTAGCAGACAGGGAAACGCAGAGAGAGGCATTGGATGGTCAAGGAGGGCGCTCTCAGCTCCCGCCGCCCCCAGCGGGACAGGACATCCCTCTGGAGTCCTCTCGGGCTAAGGGGTCAGCCCCCTCTCCTTAGAGAGCAGAGAACATTTGGCTGAAGCTCTTTTCCAATCCTGTTGGCTGCGAGACTGGATGGCGATGGGAAACCCATGAAATGCCCAAGCCAAGTGGTCGGAGCCCAGAGGGGACCCCCGAGTCCCCGACGGGGCCCATGGCCTGGGCGGAATTTCCCGAATCCCTCTCTTTCCCTCTGCCTAGCCGTCTGCCAAGGCGGTCTCCTCCGGCCCGGCCCCTCGGTGGTGCTCCGACCTCCTGCTTCGGTGCCAGCCGCAGCGAATCCCACTCTGCAGCCCCTCTTTGCCTGTGCACTACCTGACGTCTCCTTTCCTGGCCCCGCTCCAGCTCACCGCCGCTGGGAGAGGGCTTCGCGGCTGTGCGGGGACAGGGGAGGGCACTCCTATCCGGAAAGGGTAGCCGTCTGCGCGACCGCAGGGCCACCAGAGGCCGCCTCGGGCAGCTGGGGGAGCGCGGCGGGCGAGGAGAACACGTGACGCGCGCGGCCCCGCCCCCAGGCCGAAGCTGCTGCGAGGATGACGCCATCTTGGCCCCGCCGAGTGTGACTGCTTCGGCTGGGAGCGTGGGAGGCGCAAGGAATCGGAGTCTGGTTGCGGTGGACAAGCTCTCGGCTCTTCCCGGACTTTGTTTGATGCACTACTGCCGCTACTGCTCGTTATGTTATCAGCAGGTGCTGCCTGCAGGCTTGTAATTACGCATCGCTGCCACCTAGGCAGGGAGCCAGTTAGGCCTTGGGTATAGTTTTAAGCGTTAAGGAAGGTGGAATTTAGAAGCTCAGTGCAGGGTTTCCTGCGCCTTTTTATGAGCCTAATTTCTAAAATTTACACTACATAACACGGGGCTGGAGGATTACAAGGATAGTGTTTGGGGAGGGAGCCACTGCCAGAGAGGCTGATGCAAAAGGCTAGGAGATTGGGTAAACCAAGAAAACAAGAAACAGTCAAGGAAGAGGCATCCAGAGAAAGTAGGGAACGAGAAGGACAAAAACTAAAGGTTTCTTGGTTTGACTTTATGGAAACTGGTTTCTCAGGCATTGCCATATTGGCTGGTATGGCTAGGTCCCCTGAACAACTAACTCTTAAGAGATGATTAAAAGTACAAGATTTCTTGGCTGACCCAGGGATGATCCTGCTACAATACGGCTACTTTGCTTTCCTTGGTAACCCTCCTTATTTACTCTTCTTGAGGATAAGAATGCATGTCTTGAACATCTGTGGAGTCTCACAATATCTGCACATAGTAATACTATATGTAAGCAGTTATTTTAAACGTTCTGGAAATCAAAAGAGTCCTGGTGGCACAATGGTTAAAGCGCTAGACTGATAAGGAAAGGTCGGGGTTGGAAGAAAAGGTGTGGCAGACTGCTTCTGTAAAGACAGCCTTGGAAACCCTGTAGGGCAGTTCTGCTCTGTTCTATAGGGTCACTATGAGTAGGGAACTGCAGGACGGCAGTGGGTTTATTTTTTGGTTTTCTTGCAGTATTTGCTTTACTAGCATAATTTTTTTTCAGATTGTATATTTCAGATCAGTTAAATGAGAAGTCTTCTAAAGGTTTTTTTCCAGCTACTATACACCTTATAGTTTATTACTGTTATTACTAGACATTGAGAAGGTGATGGTGAGTATGGATATAGGAGCTTCAGCTCCCAAAGCCACCCATAGCAGCGATGGCTGCTCAGATTCTTTACTATGTCTAAGTCAAATAAAACGTTAATTAATATCATTCTGAATGCTTCTACATAAGAGCCACTAGGCCCTGTTTTAAGGATCCCTAGTGGGACAGTGGTTCAGAGCTCAGCTGCTAACGAGAGGTCAGTGGTTTGAACCCAGTAACTGCTCCAGGGGAGAAAGATAAGACTTTGGAAACCCTATGGGGCAGTTCTGTCCTGTCCTCAAGGGTGGCTATGAGTTGGAATCAACAACAGGCTTTGATTTAAATGACTAGTTCTTAATGAAAGGGTCAGGAGTACCCCTATCTAAGGTTCAATGCTTATTTTAAAAAAAGACTGAATTTCCTTTGATATTTTCAATTTATACAATGATCTGGTTTTCATTTAAAAAAAAAAAAAAACTATCACATAACTACAAAAGGTATTTTTTCCCTGCAGAATAAAATAAACCCTCTGAGTGCTTTTAAAATGATTAAGCTGGTCTGTTTTCTGTGAAGGTGTTTGACAAATTCTGTTAAAAGGAGTTAACTCATATTTTATTGGTATAAAGTGATTTAATAGGGATGTCCCAAGTCACCTTTAGCCTGAATGAGAGATGTTTAATGGGACTACATAGTCAGCAATAGGGGGGCTATACAAATGCGTGATTCATTTGCAATTGGGACTGCAGGAATAAAGAAATTCTTCAGGACAATGGATTGCACAGTCCTCCCACTAACCCAGGGTGCTGAGGGAACAGAGCTGCTAGGCCAAGACAGCCCTGATCCTCAAACATAAGTAAGTCCAGCTTCTGAAACTGAGCTCACAACCCCTGACCCATCGTAGGAGCCCTGGATAAATGAATAAGCATTGGTGAGTAGCAGGACAGAGAACTATTGCTGTTTGAGCAAGCGAAGAAAGGAAAGGAAAGACAGACCAGTGAGAGGGCTCCTGAAGCAAAGAACAGACCTGCCAGTGCAGACAGATCACCCTATTGCCGCAAAGTTGATTCCAACTCACAAATGAGCCTGTAAGGCAGAATCATCTTTAGGGAAGCTGACTTGCCTTATCTTTTTTCCAGCAGAGAGGCTGGTGGGGAGCTCTGGTAGCATAGTGGCTAAAGCACTTGACAGCTAACCAGAAGGCTGGCAGTTCAAACCCACCAGCCACTTCTCGGAAGGAAGATTGGGCAATCCTACTTCCGTAGTGATACTTACTCGGAAACCCAAGGAGGGGTTGCTATGAGTCGGGGCTGACTCAACGGCACATAACAACAACAACAGACTTCAGTTAACAGCCAACTGTTTAATCACTGCCACCAGGCCTTCACACAGAACATAAAGGAAGAGAATTAATGTAGGACACCTACATGAGGGTCCAGGTGAGACCAGCGTAAGTCTCTCCCTATCATTTTTTCAATATTGTTTTTATTGTGATTTGGGTGAAAGTTTACAGAGTAATTTGATTTTGTGTACAGCTGTTCATAGACATTTTGTTACATGACATTCACTGCAATTCCCCACAATGTAACAGCTCTCCTCCCACTTCTTCCCTATAGTTACCTCTTCCCTGTAGTTACCTTCCCTCTTCTTTCCTATGCATTCCTTTCATTAATTATTAGGGATTATTATCTGCTTCTTAGGAAGCTCTGGTAGTGTAGTACCTAAGGCACTTGACTGCTAACCAGAAGGCTGGCGGTTCAAAGCCACCAGCCACTCCTCAGAAGGAAGGTTGAGCAATCTACTTCCTTAGTGATATTGCCTCGGCAGCCCAAGGAGGGGTAGCTATGAGTCAGGTCCGACTCAACAGCACATAACAACAACAACAACAACAACAAATCTGCTTCTTAGTGGTGATAAATAGTTGAAATGTTTTATCAGAAAGCAAGATAATCCTCACAGGTCTGAAGGCCAGAACTCTGAAATCAGTTACACTGGGCCAGAATGAAGGTGTCAGCAGGGCTGCACACCCTCCAGTGGCTCTAATCCTTGCCTCTTCCAGCTTCTGATGGCTACTGGCATTTGTTGGCTTGTGGCCACATCCCTCCGATCTTCAAGGCCAGCATCTTCAAATCCTTCTGTATTGCAAATTAAGGTGTTATGAACATTTGTATACAAGTCTTTGTATGAATATATGCTTTCATTTCTCTGGAAATGAATTACCTAGAAGTGGGAGAGCTGGATCATATGGTACGTATTTATTTAACTTTTTAACTAAAAATGGACCATAGACCTAAATATAAAACCTAAACCTATAAAACTTCTAGGAGAAAATCTTTGTGACCTTGGTTTAGACAAAGAGTTTTTAGATATGACAACAAAAGCATGATTCATAAAAGAAAGAAATTGGTAAATCAAACTTCCTCAAAAATAAGAACTCTGCTCTTTAACAAACTGTTAAGAGAATGAAAAGGCATGTTACAGACTGGTAGAAAATCTTTGCAGATCACATAATAAAGGACAGTTGTTGTTATTGTTGTTAGGTGCCATCATGTTGTCTACAACTCATAGTGACCCTATGCACAGCAGAATGAAACAGTGCCCAGTCTTGTGCCAGCCTCACGATTCTTGCTATACCTGAGCCCATCATTGTAGTCACTGTGTCTATCCATCTTGTTGAGGGCCTTCCCCTTCTTTGTTGACCCTCCACTTTACCAAGTATGATATCCTTCTCCAGGGAATGGTTCCTTCTGACAACATGACCAAAGTAACTGAGACAGTCTGGCCATTCTTGCTTCCAAGGAGTGTTCCAACTGCACTTCTTCCAGGATAGATTTGTTAGTTCTTTTAGCAGACCAAGGTACTTCTAGCATTCTTCTCCAACACCACAACTCAAAAGCATCAACTCTTCCTTGGTCTTCCTTATTCATTGTCCAGCTCTCACATGCGTAAGAGGCGATTGAAAATACCATGCCTT